ATAGACCGTACTTGGACGAATTCGCTAATCAACTGTACAGTATTATTTACAGAAGAGAAATTGCCATTGAAAAACAGAGTCCACTTGCTTCCTTTGAAATTATCAAGCATTAGTGTAAATAAAAAGGGTAAGCATTTTTTGTCCTTTTTTTTTATTAAAGTCACTAAAAATATCGAGTGTGATTAAACGTTCTGATAAATTGCTGGTAGCGATTAAAAAATTACGCAAAATTATTTTTGATAAATTTACTGCTAGAGATGCTGAGATCTGGTTAAAATTTAAATAAGCCGGTTAAAGCCTGTAGTAAGTGCATTAAAGATAAAAACTTACCCATTGGAGCAAGAAGGAAATTACAAACATTGGACATTTTAAACATTTTCGTAAATTAATTTTAAATGGTTGGGACTAAATTCCAAATTACGTAATAGGGTTAAATAGGAAAACGATACCTAGAGTTTTGCTAGTATACTTAGGACTGGGATTATTGTAAATTTACGTCATAAGGATTTGGGCAAATTTTTGAAAGACGCTTACCTAGTTTGTAAACAAAAAATTAAAACATGCCTCAATTCATTTTATAAAAGTATGTAATGTAGAATTACATTTTCCTACAATCTCATCGACAAGAAAACTAATTACTATAGCTGTGGAAGGAAATATAAGTAGCTTCTTGAGCATTTTAAAAATTTTAAAGATATACACATCCTTACGTAGCCAGTAGATTTATGAACAAATTGTGAGGGGCATAATTTGCTTGAGCTTTCTCATTTCAACCCAAAAAAATGGCGATATATTTTTCAGTCATACACATAAAATGATCTAGAAGTAACATTTTCCCCTACTATTATGGTCTTTAATTTTGATATAAGTGCTTTTTCAACAGAAGGTACTCACATTTCAAAATGCAAACGAATAATATAAAAATTATTAGTCATTTAAAAAAAATAGCTGATGATAATTTTGTCAGTGTAAAACCTAATAGTGAAAAGTATATAAATCCAGAATTTTTAAATAAGTCGAATAACGACTAAAGAAGGTGCAAGCCACTTCGAAGGTCCATTATTAGTGTATAGTGGTTAATGGGCATTTCTTTTGTTTCTAGATGAAGAATTCGTGGAATATATTAAAATTAATTTAGCTGCAAATATGCGAGTAAGTTTTTCGAACTAGAAATTTATTAAATATTTAATTTTTGTTTTTTTTTGTTTGTTTGTTTTAATAGCATAAGCCGCTAATTATGTTTGGGGGGCGTATCCAACATACGTCCCCAGCAGATTCCATTTCATTGGGGGTCTACAAAAACAAAGCCTTCTACCCCTTTGACGGCGACATGGTAGTAGTTTGGGTATGTGACTTGGTAAGTTTATTAAAAAATATTTTCTATTTTGAACTATCTTTAACCCTAGAACGCATTTGTGTGGTTTTAACAACAAACGGAACCATTATACACCCATTCTGTTTTGTAAAATTAGGAATAAATACAAAGAAAAACAAATTAGGAAAAAGAAACTCATTACAAGTTTACTGAAAATGGGCCTAAATAAAAAAGCTGAGCTTCAAAGAGAAACAATTTTGAAACTCATTGAGTTACTGTAAATACTTAATACTATTTAAAAATATAATTTTGAATTAAAATATATTTTATTTTCATTGTCCAATGTTGACTTTACCCTATTACCAATAACTTTCTCCCATTTAAATTATTAGCTATATTTGTCCAATCTTTACTTGAATGTCCACACCAGCACTCTACTGTCCAGAGTGTTTTCCATTTAAAAAGCATTGGTGTCCAAGATCATATACCACGATCTCTACGTAATTCCGTTTTTCCCCTTTGAATCGGACCAATAGCAGTGAATATACGTGCTAAGGCCGAAAGAAGAATTTACAGGGTCATTCCTATAGCATAAGACGGAAAAGAAGTAGAGATCAAAAGATAAGTAGGGTATAGTAGTATGCCCAAATTGTGCAAACCCCCTGTATGAGCAAAATGTGCAAACCGGTTTAACCGGATCTCCAAGTTAATAACCTGAATAGAATAACTACTTTGACTGGTTGATGACCTCGTCAAAGCTGAACTATCATATAAACCCATGTATGAGCATAATGTGCAAACCGGTTTAACCAGATCTGCAAGTTAATAACCTGAATAATAGAATAACTAGTTTGATGGTCAGAAGGTTAATGACACATGTCTAGACACTTGATATTTAACTTGTTTGAATACATACACATACCCACCAACTAACTCATATGTCAAATATATTAATCAAAAACAAGATAGAATTCAAAGGGGGGTTATTTTGACTACAACTTTTAAAAATAGACATATTTTACTCTTTAAAAAAATATTTCAATTGTATTTACTAAAATTATTCCAGCTAATTCTCCTACAAGAACTTCGAAAATACTCAAAAACAAGAAATAATTTAGGTACCTAAATTATTTTTTAAACATTAACACAACTCACAAAAAAAGTTATTTTTGAAAGGGTAAAATTGTTCATAAAAAATTTGTTGGTTCATGCTGTATACCATAATAAAAATCATTAGTATAATAACGTAAAGCATGTGCAAAAACCAGATTAAATATAAGAGACAAAGTATAATTATAAAAATTGTTCTTGATAAATTCACTTATAAAATTATTATGCCCATCCTGTATATTCTGAAGACAAAGAAAATGTATCAAAGGATACGCACACCTGCATAAAAGGTATAAAAATGCAACTATACTAAAAATAAATTCCAATGATAAGTACATGTATGAGATTCTTAAAAAAGAGACTTCAATACAGTACAAAGAAAATGCATTAAACCAGTACCTGTTTAAAAAATGCATGCCATTATAAAAATTATTCTTAAAATAAAATCCAACTATAAATGTTATGTTTGCATGTCTGAGATTCATAAACAAGATAACCATTCCATATAAGGAATGCAATAATTATAGTCCTCGATACCCAAGCTGAAATATTGCAGACATAAAAATGTATTCGTATAATGACATACCAAATAAGGTAGGGACTTATGTAGCATGTAGCAAGATATATTTTTTAGAGAATGGAAACATATTTCTAGATAAGGCAGGTATTTTCTTTTTATTGGTAATATATTTCTGCAAGTAATTTTTTTTAGACAAACTTGTGGGAAAATATTGCAGCAACTACTTGTTTATTTTTGTTCTGGGTTAAAAATCTAGACATAGCAACTACTTGTTGTTCTGACTGAGGAGGTACTAAGTACTTATAAAGATAGGGGTAATTGTAAAGCATATAAAAGATATACTTTAACTTTGAAACCTTAGTAACATTTTAATAACTTCACCAACACAACAAATAATGGCCAAAATAAAAATAATTAGTAACGTTAGATTAAACAATGAAAGTGATATCGGCAGTGACCTCGAAGTGCTGGACGGTTCGTTTTCGGACTTAAAACCTATAGGGTTTTCAACCCCGAAAAATTACGCGTCAACCTCCAAAGGTAGTGCCCAGTTTTCAAAACCAAGTGTACATAACCCAGTAATCCCAAAATTACTTATATCAGGGAAATGTATAAAAAAGTGATTTAAACAAGAACAATTTAGTGATATTTCCTCAGACAAGGAAGATGATAATACAACCATTGATGACAGGGAAACCACTTTGTGTGAGCAAGAAGATATAGAAGAACAGCAATCCACAAATGCCTATTTGAATCGTTTAGAACAGTTTATAACAGACACCAAACAATTTGTTAAATGTAAACAAGAAAAAAGAAACCTACTTTACCGTAAATTGAAAAAATATCAACGAAAAGTTGACAAAATTCAAAAAACAATTAATTCTTTAGACGCTATTTTATTAAGAGCTGTTCGCATTAATTTATTAGAATAATAATCAAACATCTTTCTTCAATCATTTTTCTAAATTATACAATTTTTTATACCTACATTTTTCACATACCTAAAACCTCAACCTCAGAGGAAAGTGCCAAGTTTTCAAAACCATGTGTACATAACCCAGTAATCCCAAAATTACTTATATCAGGGAAATGTATAAAAAAAGTGAATTAAAACAAGAACAATTTAGTGATATTTCCTCAGACAAGGAAGATGATAATACAACCATTGATGATAGGGAAACCACTTTGTGTGAGCAAGAAGATATAGAAGAGCAGCAATCCACAAATGCCTATTTGAATCGTTTAGAACAGTTTATAACAGACACCAAACAATTTGTTAAATGTAAACAAGAAAAAAGAAACCTACTTTACCGTAAATTGAAAAAATATCAACGAAAAGTTGACAAAATTCAAAAAACAATTAATTCTTTAGACGCTATTTTATTAAGAGCTGTTCGCATTAATTTATTAGAATAATAATCAAACATCTTTCTTCAATCATTTTTCTAAATTATACAATTTTTATACCTACATTTTTCACATACCTAAAACCTCAACCTCAGAGGAAAGTGCCAAGTTTTCAAAACCATGTGTACATAACCCAGTAATCCCAAAATTACTTATATCAGGGAAATGTATAAAAAAGTGAATTAAAACAAGAACAATTTAGTGATATTTCCTCAGACGAGGAAGATGATAATACAACCATTGATGATAGGGAAACCACTTTGTGTGAGCAAGAAGATATAGAAGAGCAGCAATCCACAAATGCCTATTTGAGTCGTTTAGAACAGTTTATAACAGACACTAAACAATTTGTTAAATGTAAACAAGAAAAAAGAAACCTACTTTACCGTAAATTGAAAAAATATCAACGAAAAGTTGACAAAATTCAAAAAACAATTAATTCTTTAGACGCTATTTTATTAAGAGCTGTTCGCATTAATTTATTAGAATAATAATCAAACATCTTTCTTCAATCATTTTTCTAAATTATACAATTTTTTATACCTACATTTTTCACATACCTAAAACCTCAACCTCAGAGGAATGTGCCAAGTTTTCAAAACCATGTGTACATAACCCAGTAATCCCAAAATTACTTATATCAGGGAAATGTATAAAAAAAGTGAATTAAAACAAGAACAATTTAGTGATATTTCCTCAGACAAGGAAGATGATAATACAACCATTGATGATAGGGAAACCACTTTGTGTGAGCAAGAAGATATAGAAGAGCAGCAATCCACAAATGCCTATTTGAGTCATTTAGAACAGTTTATAACAGACACTAAACAATTTGTTAAATGTAAACAAGAAAAAAGAAACCTACTTTACCGTAAATTGAAAAAATATCAACGAAAAGTTGACAAAATTCAAAAAACAATTAATTCTTTAGACGCTATTTTATTAAGAGCTGTTCGCATTAATTTATTAGAATAATAATCAAACATCTTTCTTCAATCATTTTTCTAAATTATACAATTTTTATACCTACATTTTTCACATACCTAAAACCTCAACCTCAGAGGAAAGTGCCAAGTTTTCAAAACCATGTGTACATAACCCAGTAATCCCAAAATTACTTATATCAGGGAAATGTATAAAAAAGTGAATTAAAACAAGAACAATTTAGTGATATTTCCTCAGACGAGGAAGATGATAATACAACCATTGATGATAGGGAAACCACTTTGTGTGAGCAAGAAGATATAGAAGAGCAGCAATCCACAAATGCCTATTTGAGTCGTTTAGAACAGTTTATAACAGACACTAAACAATTTGTTAAATGTAAACAAGAAAAAAGAAACCTACTTTACCGTAAATTGAAAAAATATCAACGAAAAGTTGACAAAATTCAAAAAACAATTAATTCTTTAGACGCTATTTTATTAAGAGCTGTTCGCATTAATTTATTAGAATAATAATCAAACATCTTTCTTCAATCATTTTTCTAAATTATACAATTTTTATACCTACATTTTTCACATACCTAAAACCTCAACCTCAGAGGAAAGTGCCAAGTTTTCAAAACCATGTGTACATAACCCAGTAATCCCAAAATTACTTATATCAGGGAAATGTATAAAAAAGTGAATTAAAACAAGAACAATTTAGTGATATTTCCTCAGACGAGGAAGATGATAATACAACCATTGATGATAGGGAAACCACTTTGTGTGAGCAAGAAGATATAGAAGAGCAGCAATCCACAAATGCCTATTTGAGTCGTTTAGAACAGTTTATAACAGACACTAAACAATTTGTTAAATGTAAACAAGAAAAAAGAAACCTACTTTACCGTAAATTGAAAAAATATCAACGAAAAGTTGACAAAATTCAAAAAACAATTAATTCTTTAGACGCTATTTTATTAAGAGCTGTTCGCATTAATTTATTAGAATAATAATCAAACATCTTTCTTCAATCATTTTTCTAAATTATACAATTTTTTATACCTACATTTTTCACATACCTAAAACCTCAACCTCAGAGGAAAGTGCCAAGTTTTCAAAACCATGTGTACATAACCCAGTAATCCCAAAATTACTTATATCAGGGAAATGTATAAAAAAAGTGAATTAAAACAAGAACAATTTAGTGATATTTCCTCAGACAAGGAAGATGATAATACAACCATTGATGATAGGGAAACCACTTTGTGTGAGCAAGAAGATATAGAAGAGCAGCAATCCACAAATGCCTATTTGAGTCATTTAGAACAGTTTATAACAGACACTAAACAATTTGTTAAATGTAAACAAGAAAAAAGAAACCTACTTTACCGTAAATTGAAAAAATATCAACGAAAAGTTGACAAAATTCAAAAAACAATTAATTCTTTAGACGCTATTTTATTAAGAGCTGTTCGCATTAATTTATTAGAATAATAATCAAACATCTTTCTTCAATCATTTTTCTAAATTATACAATTTTTATACCTACATTTTTCACATACCTAAAACCTCAACCTCAGAGGAAAGTGCCAAGTTTTCAAAACCATGTGTACATAACCCAGTAATCCCAAAATTACTTATATCAGGGAAATGTATAAAAAAGTGAATTAAAACAAGAACAATTTAGTGATATTTCCTCAGACGAGGAAGATGATAATACAACCATTGATGATAGGGAAACCACTTTGTGTGAGCAAGAAGATATAGAAGAGCAGCAATCCACAAATGCCTATTTGAGTCGTTTAGAACAGTTTATAACAGACACTAAACAATTTGTTAAATGTAAACAAGAAAAAAGAAACCTACTTTACCGTAAATTGAAAAAATATCAACGAAAAGTTGACAAAATTCAAAAAACAATTAATTCTTTAGACGCTATTTTATTAAGAGCTGTTCGCATTAATTTATTAGAATAATAATCAAACATCTTTCTTCAATCATTTTTCTAAATTATACAATTTTTTATACCTACATTTTTCACATACCTAAAACCTCAACCTCAGAGGAAAGTGCCAAGTTTTCAAAACCATGTGTACATAACCCAGTAATCCCAAAATTACTTATATCAGGGAAATGTATAAAAAAAGTGAATTAAAACAAGAACAATTTAGTGATATTTCCTCAGACAAGGAAGATGATAATACAACCATTGATGATAGGGAAACCACTTTGTGTGAGCAAGAAGATATAGAAGAGCAGCAATCCACAAATGCCTATTTGAGTCATTTAGAACAGTTTATAACAGACACTAAACAATTTGTTAAATGTAAACAAGAAAAAAGAAACCTACTTTACCGTAAATTGAAAAAATATCAACGAAAAGTTGACAAAATTCAAAAAACAATTAATTCTTTAGACGCTATTTTATTAAGAGCTGTTCGCATTAATTTATTAGAATAATAATCAAACATCTTTCTTCAATCATTTTTCTAAATTATACAATTTTTATACCTACATTTTTCACATACCTAAAACCTCAACCTCAGAGGAAAGTGCCAAGTTTTCAAAACCATGTGTACATAACCCAGTAATCCCAAAATTACTTATATCAGGGAAATGTATAAAAAAGTGAATTAAAACAAGAACAATTTAGTGATATTTCCTCAGACGAGGAAGATGATAATACAACCATTGATGATAGGGAAACCACTTTGTGTGAGCAAGAAGATATAGAAGAGCAGCAATCCACAAATGCCTATTTGAGTCGTTTAGAACAGTTTATAACAGACACTAAACAATTTGTTAAATGTAAACAAGAAAAAAGAAACCTACTTTACCGTAAATTGAAAAAATATCAACGAAAAGTTGACAAAATTCAAAAAACAATTAATTCTTTAGACGCTATTTTATTAAGAGCTGTTCGCATTAATTTATTAGAATAATAATCAAACATCTTTCTTCAATCATTTTTCTAAATTATACAATTTTTTATACCTACATTTTTCACATACCTAAAACCTCAACCTCAGAGGAAAGTGCCAAGTTTTCAAAACCATGTGTACATAACCCAGTAATCCCAAAATTACTTATATCAGGGAAATGTATAAAAAAAGTGAATTAAAACAAGAACAATTTAGTGATATTTCCTCAGACAAGGAAGATGATAATACAACCATTGATGATAGGGAAACCACTTTGTGTGAGCAAGAAGATATAGAAGAGCAGCAATCCACAAATGCCTATTTGAATCGTTTAGAACAGTTTATAACAGACACCAAACAATTTGTTAAATGTAAACAAGAAAAAAGAAACCTACTTTACCGTAAATTGAAAAAATATCAACGAAAAGTTGACAAAATTCAAAAAACAATTAATTCTTTAGACGCTATTTTATTAAGAGCTGTTCGCATTAATTTATTAGAATAATAATCAAACATCTTTCTTCAATCATTTTTCTAAATTATACAATTTTTATACCTACATTTTTCACATACCTAAAACCTCAACCTCAGAGGAAAGTGCCAAGTTTTCAAAACCATATGTACATAACCCAGTAATCCCAAAATTACTTATATCAGGGAAATGTATAAAAAAAGTGAATTAAAACAAGAACAATTTAGTGATATTTCCTCAGACGAAGAAGATGATAATACAACCATTGATGATAGGGAAACCACTTTGTGTGAGCAAGAAGATATAGAAGAGCAGCAATCCACAAATGCCTATTTGAATCGTTTTGAACAGTTTATAACAGACACCAAACAATTTGTTAAATGTAAACAAGAAAAAAGAAACCTACTTTACCGTAAATTGAAAAAATATCAACGAAAAGTTGACAAAATTCAAAAAACAATTAATTCTTTAGACGCTATTTTATTAAGAGCTGTTCGCATTAATTTATTAGAATAATAATCAAACATCTTTCTTCAATCATTTTTCTAAATTATACAATTTTTATACCTACATTTTTCACATACCTAAAACCTCAACCTCAGAGGAAAGTGCCAAGTTTTCAAAACCATGTGTACATAACCCAGTAATCCCAAAATTACTTATATCAGGGAAATGTATAAAAAAGTGAATTAAAACAAGAACAATTTAGTGATATTTCCTCAGACGAGGAAGATGATAATACAACCATTGATGATAGGGAAACCACTTTGTGTGAGCAAGAAGATATAGAAGAGCAGCAATCCACAAATGCCTATTTGAGTCGTTTAGAACAGTTTATAACAGACACTAAACAATTTGTTAAATGTAAACAAGAAAAAAGAAACCTACTTTACCGTAAATTGAAAAAATATCAACGAAAAGTTGACAAAATTCAAAAAACAATTAATTCTTTAGACGCTATTTTATTAAGAGCTGTTCGCATTAATTTATTAGAATAATAATCAAACATCTTTCTTCAATCATTTTTCTAAATTATACAATTTTTATACCTACATTTTTCACATACCTAAAACCTCAACCTCAGAGGAAAGTGCCAAGTTTTCAAAACCATGTGTACATAACCCAGTAATCCCAAAATTACTTATATCAGGGAAATGTATAAAAAAAGTGAATTAAAACAAGAACAATTTAGTGATATTTCCTCAGACGAGGAAGATGATAATACAACCATTGATGATAGGGAAACCACTTTGTGTGAGCAAGAAGATATAGAAGAGCAGCAATCCACAAATGCCTATTTGAGTCGTTTAGAACAGTTTATAACAGACACTAAACAATTTGTTAAATGTAAACAAGAAAAAAGAAACCTACTTTACCGTAAATTGAAAAAATATCAACGAAAAGTTGACAAAATTCAAAAAACAATTAATTCTTTAGACGCTATTTTATTAAGAGCTGTTCGCATTAATTTATTAGAATAATTATCAAACATCTTTCTTCAATCATTTTTCTAAATTATACAATTTTTTTATACCTACATTTTTCACACCTAAAGCCTCAACCTCAGAGGAAAGTGCCAAGTTTTCAAAACCATATGTACATAACCCAGTAATCCCAAAATTACTTATATCAGGGAAATGTATAAAAAAAGGTGAATTAAAACAAGAACAATTTAGTGATATTTCCTCAGACGAGGAAGATGATAATACAACCATTGATGATAGGGAAACCACTTTGTGTGAGCAAGAAGATATAGAAGAGCAGCAATCAACAAATGCCTATTTGAATCGTTTAGAACAGTTTATAACAGACACTAAACAATTTGTTAAATGTAAACAATAAAAAAGAAACCAGCTTTACCGTAAATTGAAAAAATATCAATGAAGAATTCAGAAAACAATAGATTCCTTAGATGTCATGTTAGTAAGAGCAGTTAGAATATATTTTTATTATTTGATTGATTTTTCATAGTAGCATTTCATATTTTGTTTTCAAAAAGTTTTTTGTACTTTGTGAATTAAATTAGCTTTTTTCTTTAGAAGCTTATTGTATATTGTTAAATAAATTGTTTTTTAACTCATAAAACTTTGATTGTTTAATCTAATGTCATTTTGATTGTTTAATCATTGGAAACGGCGCGGAGCAAACGTCTGTGTAACCCCTGCTTCCTTTATTACGAGCAGACGGATGTGGAGAGAAATCCAAATGCAAGGTACACACATGAATATCAACATTTTGTTGTAGAAGGGGAAAATTTG